ATTTTGGTCTGAACTGCAATTTGTCCGAATTTGGGCCAATCGGGTGATCGATCAAATTCTTGAGCTCCAACCATACATGTCCATGAATCACAAACAAACCAAAACACGACGAGTGCCTATCGTGTCCCTTTAATGTTCATCCAAGAAATTACATTCTCTCCCTTTATATAATTTATCAATTATACACACACTCAAGTATTACTAGGAAGTATTATATAGAAATATTGTTTTATTATTTTGTTATTAAGTTGGTTTAGACGCTCTTCCGGATCTTTTCTTGATATCATTACAAGCCTTTTTATGGTCTAATTAGGTGATGATGCTCTTGAGTTTAGGATCAGCTGGTTCTGGTAATTACTAGCAGGCAACTCTATGTGCCAAGGTAAATAGGGCTTGTGCTCTTAAACTGAAACCAGTGTTTTTACCTGTGTTAATTAACCCCTTACGGATGCTGGACGGAAATTTTTCATCATTGCAGTCCTCCCCTAAAGGACACAGGACAGAAAATGTACGTTCATTACTAAAATTAACCCCAGATTGACGCAATTGCGGCAATCATTGGGTTAATGTTGCTGTAGTCTGCCTCGGTGCCAGAGGCTGATTGCAGCAGGCAGTCTCACTGATCTAGCCCATGTGATCCCTCTGACCGGCAGTCAGAGCGATCACACGTGCTACAGTGAACCCTGATCTGCCTCACTGCACCCCTGTGTAAGCTCTGTAACCCCTGTGTAACCCCCTTGTGTGAAAATTAGTTAATTATTTGTGAAATATTTATTTATTTAGCTAGGGTGGGTAGAGGTTAGTGAGGGAATTGGGGGATATATATAAACACAAAAAGAATTCAGCGCTAGTAATCACAAAATTAGTCAAGGTAGGCAGCAACCCAAATGAAGGAAAACCCCTCGGGTCCTTCGGTGGATAGATACAAAAAGATATGGAAGGGCTGCGCCAAATAAGGGTAGATAGTCCAGTAAAGTATTGCTATGGTGCCAATAGATGGTCTAGGATACTTGATAGAGTTCCTCTGTGGATGCATCTAGTGTAGACCGTTCCGTATATGTAAATACAAGAGAGGTAGAGGCGACTAATGAACACCCTGAACTTTCATACTATACCATTAGTCACCTCTACCTCTCTTGTATTTACATATACGGAACAGTCTACACTAGACGCATCCACAGAGGAACTCTATCAAGTATCCTAGACCATCTATTGGCACCCTAGCAATACTTTACTGGACTATCTACCCTTATTTGGCGCAGCCCTTCCATATCTGTTTGTAATTGGGGGATATATGCCTTTGTGGCGAGAAATGGTATACCTTTGTGGGGTAGTTTGAATAAGCAACATGCTAGAAAAACCTCCAAAGTAAGATACGGACCAAGCTTAAAAATTAAAAGTTTGAAAAAAAAACAGAATGGCTGTGTCTCAAATGTGTCCCTTCAATGTCCACATATACCTGGCAAAGGTGCATACATTGAATTGCTATACTAAGATGACATACCTGGGCAAAATATGAAGTATTATACAGCCGTAGCACACATAAAGTTTTCAAAATATACAGTACAAACTCACTGTGTGTGTCAAAAAGGTAGGAAAAATGCTTATTACCATTACACTTGGTACACGCTAAGGTTCAAAATATGCCTTTTTAAATGCCTTTTTAAATGGTATGCCTTTGTGGGGTAGTTGGAAAAAGCAAAAGATTTATGAATGTGTGAGCGCTCCAAATTACTCAGCATACTCCAGCAATGAAGGAATACATAATATCAAGAGCAAAAAACGGGGCGCAAGAGAATACTGAGAACAGGCAGCAGCTGAAATAGCTTGCCCTACGGTGGGTCCCCACTCAGTTCTCAAGCTGGTTTTAGCAGTTCTCAAGCTGGTTACATAATATCAATCACAGAAGTTCAGTGTCTCTAAATATTATAAATAAAATAACTACATTTATATTAAAAAATGGGTCTCTTACTCAGGGACCTTGTATTTAACCCCTTAAGGACACATGACATGTGTGACATGTCATGATTCCCTTTTATTCCAGAAGTTTGGTCCTTAAGGGGTTAAAAGCCAACCAGAGCTCAGTCAGCTAAACTTTCAGTAAGCGATGCAAAAATTTAACTTCAATTCACATTGGAGCGTTACAAAGTGTCATTACACAAGGAACTTTAAATTGAAGTAAAACACATATCTCAGCTAAACTGTATGTTTGGTAATACAAAATATATAATTTAATTGTCTATAGAATTACACAATGTCATCTGACATAGAACAATAAAACCACACTCAATAAAAAATAATATACATCAAAATAAAATTGAATACATAGAGTATCAAACATGCCTAAAAAATACAATCCAAGCAGATACTAAAGATGGAAAAAGTGTATCAGTAAAACTCCAGTGAGGGGCCCCTTCACTGGAGTAATCATGAGTGTAGAAATTGAGGATCACTGAATACTCTGTTCTTCTGTGTGATAAGAAAAAATATAAAAATATAAAATCATCAATCATCAATCATCAATGGGGGGATATGGTGCTGAAACCCACCCAGCTAATGAGGCAAGGCTAAGGGTGCTCTAAGAAAACTCCCAAGTCAGAATAAACTCTGGGAGCAACCCAGAGCAACTTACCCTGTCCGCCACGCCAAATGCCGGGTTAGGGGAGCACGATGATCAACCCGCCAGATGATGAATCAATCTGCAAACTTCGGCAGGTAGTTCCACTACCCGGGTGTCATAATCCAATTCAAGGGGATTTGCGCTGGAGGCAAAGTGCAGCAAATGAATATAAACAGTCTATAGTTGGAAAAAGCAGCCTGCTAAAACACTCCAAGATAGAACACGGACCCATCAAAACCATCTATGAAAATTCAATCTTAAAAATCTGAAATTTACACATCTCTTTTATAGCACTTTAACTTCACAAAATAGTGTCTATGTCATGCATTGGGCATATTGATTTACTCAAAATAGGTAACTGACCATAATTTGGGGGATTTTATCACAGTGGCACTTATTAAATGTACAAAATATCTAGCAAAAATACAACATGTATGTAAAAAATGCTAACATGGAAACCTCTTATCTGTCAAATAATATTGAAATTTTTTAAAAAAATGATGAAGGTGGCCTGTTTGAGGGTTTTTTTAAGGATAAATCAGTAACGATTTTGCATTTCTTGTTCAACTCATTTTTGTGGCTGTGTCTTTGGACTTGACATCTGATGTTTCAGAGGTCACTGTTTAGACTGATTGTTGTCTAGAATATTTTAAACGCTCAGCAGGTATGACCAATCAATCTGCTGACACCTGTATTTCCATACTGAAACTGCATCTGTAGCACAGAGTCCATCAAAACGAAATGCATGTGTCCTCTCATTGAATATATTTGTTTGTTCACTCATTCACAGTGTCTCTAATTTCTCTTTGCTTGTCTATACATCATCTTGCTGAATGTCTTTTAGAAAATCTGTCATTGTATATAGAGGAACTTTCTTAATGTCTCAATAACATTCAAGCTTCTGGGGGGTGGAGGGGGAAATATGTGAAGTACCAGTAAGTGGGGTTCTCAGATGTGGCTTTCACAGAAGTTATGTGTCTGTTACTGGAGACAGTGAAGTAACTGCTACAGATGGTGGACTGGTGATTGTGGCTGCACAGACATCACCTGACTCTAACTGCATACATAGAAACAAACAAGAACTAACTAGTCATGAAACATCAAGTAGCCTGGGACATAGACATACTACTACATAACCAGTGATTTTCTGTGGATGCTATATTAACTTACCCATGCAGAAAAACACCATTAACAATGCTTGACAAGGGGGCTTCTTTTCCTAACATATAGGAAAATATATAAAATAATTGCTCATGGAATTAAATTACATTTACTATTGGGTGGAACTCAACAGGTTACATCCGAAAATGAATTAATTGATGGCAAATTATACATGAATATGAAAGGCTAGCGGTAATGTACAGGTCACACTGCACCTTCACCAAATGCAACAGGAGTTGAAGAAAATACCAAAAAAAGCTCAACTCTAACATGGTTTTCTGGGACTTGTAGTGGTACGGAACTGCGCCATTATTGAGGCCTGAGGACCAATATTAAATAAAGAACATCTTGAAAAGAGATCTTAAGTCTGACAATATTTATGAATAATACATAACCAGTGCATCTGCTGAACAAATTAGTTGCTTTATATGAGTTGTGTTTTCAAAAAGTTTGACCCTTTTCTCCATCTGCTATGCTATTGTAGTCATTAAATACTTACTTAAAATAAATGCTACTCTAACAATACAATACTGTCTAAGAGAATGATGACATTGCTTGAAAAAGAATAACACACACATTTTTATATTATGGCAGTTTTAAATGTCATCTTTGTCATAGTGTCTGAAATATTGTTCATTTCCATTATTCTCAATCTAGCACATAAAGGGAACAGTGAGGTTGAATTATGGAACTTACATTGTTGTAGCAGTAAATGTTTTATTCATCAGCTAGGATGAACAAGGATAAACTCTATTGAGCCGATGCTCATTTACGTCTTCTGTTCTCTTGGGGCACAGACCAATTTTCCCTTTAAAGGGCACCAAGACGCTTGCTTGACATTCTTCAACATCTTCACTAAAACATCATGTCAAGCAGGTGACAAAGCAAAGTACTTTATAGAATTTACAAAAACTACGTATCTGATTTATTTCACCACTTTTCTTAAACATCTACTTTTCTAGAATTAACAAATAATATATAATTAGCAGTAAGGATAACATTGCTGTTAAAATATCTCATATCTAAAATCGACATCAGCCATAGAAGTGTAGAACCTTTTTTTTTTGTCTTTTACCTTAGTATTGAGATATGTCTAGAAAGAAAGGCCTGAAAACTTTTAAAGACATGCATAGAAATCATAAAAATAAGTGGTAAAAATAAATTCTCTCCTTAACGTCAAATGGGTCCTTTTACTACAGTTGACATATACTATCAGTACATTAAAGAGACACTCAAGCTTGCTGAAGTGCTTTATGCGTGAAAGGTGTGTCATCTTTTTTCATATTGCAAAAAGTGCAGATTGTAATAGAAAGTGGCACTTTTATAAATTAACCTTGTTACACCCACCTGGCTGTCAATCAGATGTCCAGCCCTGTTACTTCCTGGTTGTTTAGCTCAGTGTAGATTAACTAAGGAGATAGACAATCTCCCAGAGCACCTGCCTTGCAAGGACTCTTCATTGAGCTGTATTGGGAAGTCTGTGATTGGTCAGCCAAAGAAACTCGAGGTAGGGAGGAACAAAATACATAATTAGATACGTATTTTCATTGGTTGTATATCTACTAAACAGTGATTTGGGGATGTGAAGTGTCCCTTTAAGTGTAGGGATTATGCATTTTATATTATTTGTATTTGTTGTTATATGAGTGGTATCCGGTTCTGTAAACAAGACTAGCAATAATTCATAATTCTAAATTCTTTGTAGATAGTTTTAATTTAACATTTGGAACATTTTTTTTATTTGTTTTTTTAATATGAATTTGTTAATATTTGTTAAGATATTCATTTTCAACACAATGGCTTTCAGAAAGTTAACAGAAGTTTAACAGTTAAACACACAGTAGCATAATACACATTTAAATGTTTCTAATTCTGTTTAAGGTATTTACTCAGATCAATCTAATCTTTTTCCCTATGAGACATTTCATTTTATTAGTTTTGGCCATTTTGCATTTTGAACGTGACTTGCATTATTATTTTCTTTTCTTTCATTACACCTTTATAACATCAGAAACCTCACCTTGCCCTTCTTTGCAAATAAGGTTAACAAAAAATATTTTCCTGTAATAGTTTTTTTTAATTTTATTATCACCTCAGTACAAAAACAGTTTTTAGATTTGCATTTTCCTGATAAGGAAATGCAAAAGTATGTTAATCTAAAAGGAGCTTCACACTTGATTTTTTATATAAAACAAAGATGATAAGTATATATATATAATAAATTATGACTGTTTCTTTCTAGAAAAAAAGTATTTTTTTGTTTTTTATAAGAAGTACATGCATAATTGTATCTTTTTTTACAAAGGTTATGTTACATTTCATATTTCGATATTGTAAGTCTTTTTTTTATATATATAAAGGAAAATCACAAGAAAACACTAGACTTACCATTATCCATACCAAACACAAGTTATATTTTCTCAGACCACAAAATTTAGAATAGATAGAATTACTTTATGTGGCGAAAGTGACCTCGCCACTGATTTTTACCAGCCTTTTACCCTGTGACTATGGCCCCTGCAATAGAAATGGCTAATATACTTCAAATAGGCTCAGTTCGTGCAACTGGGACTATATGGTTCATTTACTTTCTTACCGCAGTGTTCTAATTGTTCGTCTGGGTGGCTGCGATTCCTATGAACAACCACGAGGTGGCGGCCATCTTGTTCGCATGGACGCAGGCAGCGGTGTTTGGGCATGAATCTCATGGAACTGAAATCGGCTACAGAAACTCTCGAACACCGCTGGACTTCCATCATCACCTGCATTCGTTTCTATTCAGCTTAGAAGGGCACTGTAGGTGAGATCATTCATCTGGATGAAGGAGGGAACAAGCTCCAGGATAAGACTAATGACTCAGTTCGTTAGTTTGTTCGTTTGCAGACTACCAAACTAGACTGGCCTCAAGCCCTGATTCCCTAGAACTATTTTGGGCATGAAACCATGCATGCGGTCGGTCAAAAAGAGACTTCCAGGAATTTCCTGAACCCCTGCTCTAATCTGGGTGATTTTTGGATATGCTGTTCACCCAGATCAAGACTATCAGGAGATGTAGGATTTATGGGGGTATGTTTGTGTTTTGAGGTGTTTCTGGACTTGGATAATTAGGTTACTCCATTAGCTAGCTCAATATGTCCGAACAGCGCTCAGATATCACGAATACAGTTGGATCGCCATGTGGTTAAAGTTGTCTCTTTTCCGCAAGCATGGCTTTCATGCCCAAAATAGTTCCACAGATTTAGACTGTGCAGCCGGTATATGTCCAATGTTAAAAGTGCCCTATAGTACAGGTTTGCCGCACGGGCTGGGGCCCCAAAACATGGCAGCTGGCACAGGGTCGCAGGGGTCCGCAGGGCGGCCGGGCCCCCTATATGTACGCCAGTGATTGTGCTATATAGTGATACCGAATGATCGTTTTTCTTTTGCTGTATATCTACTGCAGAGGGAACTTGCCACCATTTTGGATCTGGATTGGGGGTGAGATCAGTATAATTTGTAAATTGTATAGGTTCTCTCTGAAGTGGCACAAATGAGCAAAAAAATTTTTGAGACCTGTGCAGTGACTGACTAAAAGGCAAGGTATTGAGATTTCTCTGAGCTTTTGCCATTCTCAGACTTCTCATGTTCTCTGTTTTTGTTGTAATACCAGTTTTTTAGAATTAAAATTTTTTCACCTCATTTTCATTTATTTATTTTGCTTTTTTATTTTTAAAACTTTATTCTGTACATATAGTGGTACAAAGTGGTATTTAAAATTTTGTATGGATATTCATATGTTTACTGAATATCCTGACTCATCAACACTAAAAAATATTATAATATATTTTTTTAAACATTTTGGAACCTCATTTATTGAAAGCTGTCTAAGACCTACCTCTGACTTAAAGCCTGTCACATTAGCTTTCCAGCCTAACTCTTCAAGGCTTCAACATAATCAACCTCGACATATCTTTCCTACGATGAGTTTGACCTGAAGAGCTGCCTGAGAAATCAGAAAAGTAGTTATCGCACAAATGTCTTCTTTATGTATTTTTTGAATGTCCTGAATACAGAGTGTACTTATAGGTATTTACAAATTATTATATTATTGTGTAGGCATGTGATTCAGTAGGTAATCATATCATCTCAGTCTTGCTATCTTGTTCAGAAACACCTTTTAAACCAGCTACTCCATATACTCCAGATACTCGATTAATGAGTCTGATCGCTGTTTTAATAATCTCCTGTTTTCCCTAGCGTTCATTCCAGCATGTCGGAACTAACTTTGTCCGAGTTATACCTACCTCAGTTCTTCACCTGAACACCCCTTTTTGGATTACTGCTAATTTTGGACAGATTTCTAGTTACAACACTCAACAATGAACAACAGAATATTTTTTGCATGGACACCTTTTATGGTTTACCATCTTAGGTGCGGATATTAGATTTTGATTTCCCTTGTACAGATTATATAGTTACTAATTAAGGAATTGTTTAACAGAATACCTATTTTTACTTATTACTCTAACGTATATGACCCCTGGCATACTTTCCTGAATCGATAACAACATGTAAGAACAACATGTAAGAGGCACTGTTCAACAGATTACCCCTCTGTATTGATTGCTCACAAAAGGTACGACCCCTGCTGCATTCAAAAGGATATTGATATTGCAGGTTTACCTGTTGTTATTATTAGCTAATGTTTACCTGATATTTAATTGACAAATAGGGCCATTTGCCTGGTCCAATAATGATGTGAGACAGTTTTGGTTTGCTTGCGTGGGTATAGTTTTGTTACACTTACCTCGGTCCCGTTGAGCACCCACACTGCTTCCAGTCTTCAAGCTGCAGAAGCTAGCTGTCAATTTTGTGCAAGATAGAAGTTCATTAACTGACTGAGAGTATCAGCTGATGACGGAATCCCAAAATGACCAAGGTAAGCAGCACACCAGGAAAAAAAGCAAATTGTCAGGCTACGGTGAGGCAGCGCCGGGGCACTCCTGGCATCATAACCACCACATTGTGCTTCATGTTATGCATTTTCATAAAAAGGCCCAAAAAATCCTCAGCACAAGGTTCAAGAAGCCCTCTATATAGCCCTGGAACTGCCATTGAAGTAAGGCGTAAGGCTGGGAAGCTGCACGAAGGAATATGGCTGACCAGCCTGATGGAGGGAATATGACTTTGCAGGAAACTGGTGAACTTGAAAATTAAGCACAGAAGGCATATTAAATACAAAAAAGACATGACACGAAAAAGGATCGAGGTGAGAGACAATGTACTAAAATGCAGATGTTCTGTATGGCAGAAGCCAGTACCTCTTTATTGCAAGTTTTACTTCTTTTACTCCCAAAATATATGTCTTAACATTATAAAAATATATATATATATATATTAGAAGATGCTATCAAGCCATACAAACACACTTCTCCTTCTATTATGGCAGAATAAAAGCTAGCACTTCCATCTCACTCAATTCCTTGAGGGATGTGTGAACTGAAGTTACAATATTATTCTAAGATGAATTGTAAAGAACCTATCATTTATTAATATCACGTCTAAGTACAAGCAAAGTGTTTTAATGATGGGAATTATTTACATAGGCGCATTGCGGTTAGCAGATTAACATTTTCATATGACATACCCTTGCTGTCAGGCTGTATATTACTGAGCGCATGTATCGAAGATATTAAAAGTTTCAAATTGATGTATATATGACACCACCCGGGCTTAATTTGCTTGACTGTAGACTTTGTTTTAATGTTTATCTAAAGTGGTTCTGTCACTGTCCGGGGTCTTTGCAAATCTTGCAAAGATTTCCGACAGTGACTGCTCGTCTGATAGAGCAGTGGCCGAGAGGTGCAGGGGAAGGTGAGTTATACTTATCTGAACATGTCCCTCACAGCTGCTAGCTTCATCTTCCTGCCATTCCTCTTCAGCTCCTTGTGCTTCAGCAGCCAGGAACCAACATCAGAGTTGTACTTGGGGTATTTCAATACTGAGGCCTATGGGGGATCCTCCATAGACAGAACCTTTTTCTAGTGGCATCTGAGGGCTTGACAAGTCTTTGACAACAGGAAGCTCCACCTTTTGACAAGCTTGTCAGGCATCTTATTCTGTTAACAATGTTGGAATTTCCAACACAGTCAAGGTGTGTATTTCATAAAGATTTTATCTTTATGAAATATTAATTTAATAACTTTCTGGTTCACAACTTCATAGAAAACTATGCCACGATCCAGATGTCCTTACGGCAGTTGGGCCCATTTAGCTCCTTTTATGATATTGTTCAAATAAAATGAAAATTCAGATTGGGTTAAGAAATCTATGCAAGTCATATTAGTCTGTTCATATTCATGGGATGATCACAGGAGAGGACCACCATTTCAAATATTTTTGTTCAAATATTTTTGGTCAAATATTTTTGTATTTTTGGAAAGAAGCAGGGTCCGGAGAGTAAATGGGTCTGAAAAGTGAAAGCGA